TATGAGAACTCTCCCAATTAAAAATTCCTTAGCCACAAATGAAGTTGTATCAAATATAAGAAGATAGAAATCATATCAAGTTATCTTTTCTGACCATAATGATATAAAATTAGAAATCAACACCAGGAAGAATTTCAGAAACTTTACAAATATGTGGAAATTAAACATCATGCTCCTAAATAACCAACCAATGGGTCAATGAAGAAATTAAAAGGGACATTTAAAAAATGTTTTACTTCAGCATGTTATGGTGGTACAAATGTTTAGGTTACATATATTGCTTTTGCCCCACCCGAGTCAGAGCTTCAAGCATGTCCATCCCCCAGACGGTGTGCACCACACCCATTATGTGTGTAAATACCCATCCCCTCCTCCCCCCTCCCATCTGCCTGACACTCGTTGAATGCTACTACTATATGTGCGCGCGAATGTTGATCAGTTAATACCAATTTGATGGTGAGTACATGTGGTGTTTGTTTTTCCATTCTTGTGATGCTCCATTCTTGTGATGCTTAGTGGAATTGGCTCCAGTTCTATCCAGGATAATACAAGAGGTACTAGCTCACCATTATATTTTTATGGCTGAGTAGTACTCCATGGTATACATATATCACATTTTATTAATCCACTCATGGATTGATGGACACTTGTGTCATTTCAACATCTTTGCAATTGCGAATTGTGCATAAACATTTGAGTGTAGGTGTCTTTTTTATAGAATGTCTTTTTTTCCTTTGGGTAAGTACCCAGTAGTGGGATTGCTGGATCAAATGGTAGATCTCCTTGCATCTCTTCGAGGTATCTCCATATTACTTTCCACAGAGGCTGTACTAGTTTGCAGTCCCATCAGCAGTGTATGAGTGTTCCTATCTCTCTGCATCCACACCAACATTTATTGCTTTGGGTCTTTTTGATAAAAGCCATTCTCACTGGAGTTCAGTGATATCTCATTGTGGTTTTGATTTGCATTTCCCTGATGATTAGAGATGTTGAACATTTTTTTCATATGTTTGTTGGCCATTAGTCTGTCTTCTTTGAAAAATTTGTGTTCATGTCCTTTGAGCACTTTTTAATGGAGTTATTTGGTTTTTTTCTTGCTGATTTTCCTGAGTTCTATATAGATTCTAGCTATCAGCCCCTTATCGGATGTATAGCATGGAAATATTTTCTCCTATTCTGTAGGTTGTCTATTCACTCTAATGATAGTTTCCTTGGTTGTGCAGAAGCTTTTTAATTTGGTCAGGTGATCTCTTTACACTTATTCAGGCATAGATTTTTGGTTATTAGATCATTCTTGAGCATACACACAAAAAGGAAACTATTTGCTAAATAAATTGTTTCAAGTACTGCTAAAACTTCTTCAGATTCAAATTTCAACTCTTCTACATCACTTTTGTGCTCAGAATCATTGGAATCTCTTATTATCATCCTCTGTGCCATCAAAAGTGCTGGTGATGCAGAATTTCTTAAAAGTGTACAGGCACATGTGCAGGCCTGCACATTAGGCACCCTCTAATGCCTCCAGGATTTTTCCCTAGCCAATGATAGCACACTTTTGAGTTTTAAAGTGCTTGCTTAGGCAGTGATAGCTAAGGCTAAAGCGATTGTAAGATACATCCCAATTTCAAAGATGTTAAAATGTGAAAAAATGTGCCTCTTGGAATCTGTGAAACATGATCAAAAGCCATTCCACAGCAGCCCTGAACTGTTTTCCTCTATACCTCTTTTACATGTGGAATTGAAAATCTATCTTTTTGAAGCGCTTGTTTTCCTAGTCTTTGTTACTACTCGTAACCTAACCCAATCCAAATTGATATATATGATGCTTAACAATATGTTAGCCATTATATCTTTCCTTTTCCACTGTACCTTCCTTCCTTCATAGGTATTTCATTCCTATATCCCCTTGGTGTAATCATTGTATAAATTTCTTTCCTTTATCTTTTAGGTATCCTAACATTTTGCTATTATAACTACCCTCATTTCATCCTTCACTTCAGGTTTCCTGAAGCAAATTCTCTGTCAATATCTCTCTGAAGCTGAACTCAGGACTGTAAACAAACAAACAAACAAACAAAAAAAGATTTGTAATGCAATGAAAACTTTTTCATTATTTTAAAATTTGAAGCATAGTATCACTTTCATGATTACTGATAATACGTTCCTCTACTGAATACTTAGATATATCTCTCAGGCTTGTGAAAAGAAACTGCAATTGCTGGTAAATGGAAAAAAATTAAAGGAGAATTTAAAAATCAGAAATGTAGAGCAAATTTCCAGAGTAGAGAAGATTCAGAGAAATTAATAGGTGCTTTGTACTGCTTGTCACACATTTCTGAGAAAAAAGATACTTTTCCTTTTTCTGGAAAATGAAGTACAAGTTGTCAGTGACAACCATCTATTAAGAAATTTCCTTTTGTGATAGAGTGAGGATTTTTTCCCCCAGAGGTAAATTATTCAACACAGTTAATTTGAATCCGTGTTTGAGCCTGAGATGAAGTTATCAATTTTACCATTTTCCCTTAGTCTGTCCTGATATTATCATTGCCTGAGACTCTGGTACCCATAGCAACAGCCAATGTTTCAGACATTATTCCCCCAAGCAACAGAGCACGGCCAGTGACTGCCAATCATCTAGCTGTGTGTCTCAGGGTGGTATTTTTCAGGGCCAGAAGACTGAGTCACAACTCACTCCCAAGTGTTGAAAGTCAAGTTATCAAGGAATTGGGAAGGCTGTATGTGGGAAGGCAGCACACCCACAAGAAGTTTTCTAACTCCTTTTATAAAGGAGGTGGCGGGGGAGGGTAGGAAAGTGAGGAGATTTGCGATGATGGACAAAGTCAAGACATTGGAAAGTGTGACGGGGCCAATTGATTTAAATGTTTCTTCTTTCTACCACTGCCCCACATATTCAACGGGCTGCTTGTGAGCATCAAAACTGAACCAAAAGGAGGGGATTTAGAACATTCACGTTTTTCTTGCAGAAGAATAAAGATAGAAACAATTGAGCTGCGGCTGCACCTAGACTTCCCCTGCCATGCATTGTTAAAGAAAAGCTGTGAGATGTGACACTACAAGTAGTGGCTTGTGATAGGTGCTGGGGTGTAATCACAATTCTCTTTGAGTCTTGCAGGTGAGGAAATCCTGCTTTTCCAAGTAAAATAAAAGGATGTAGTTGTAAGCAGACTTCTCTGCATTATCCTGGGGAGTCTCTCCGAATCACAGGAAAGGCAAAGATGGCATAAAGAGGAGGCTCAGTGGCCAGGACAGAATCAGTCTGGGGTCAGCTGTGGATCCCAGTGAAGAGACCACAAAGGGTCATTCACAGATTACAATACGCTGTATATGGCAAACATACAGGGCTTCTCTGTCCTGGCTTTGAGATGAGCTGGATTTGCAGGGAGAGCATGTGTGTTTTTCAGCCACCCCCTTTGCCTATTGTGTTTGAAGAGAAGCCACTCACAGTGAGACATTTGGTGGATGGCGCACTTTGGGGATTTCCAGCCCTAAGGTCTTCCTGGGTATTCAGTGCCAACTCACACAGCAATGTTTTTGCCTGTGTAGGGGAGAAAGCCTGAACAGAGGATTCAGGTGTACAGGTGTTGAGTGCCTTCCTGAGAGGTGCCCTGCTACCTCTTATACAGTCTATTGCTGATTCTGAAGTCTTTTTTCATATGAGAAGGATTTTGGCTGAGGTTTAGAAGCCATCCCCACCTTAGGCTGGAAGGCACACCTGTAATTAGGGAGAGACTAAAATGATTGGGGTTGTCTTTAAGAGTGTTAGGGATTTCCCTTCCTTCTAGGGCTGGTTATCTGGCTGGATTCCCAGTCTACCCACACGATCTTCCTTAACCCATTGATATACCTACAGAATAACAAGAAAGAAGATGGAATATGGCATCAGAAAAATGTAAGTTCGTGTCCCAATTCCACAACTTCTTGCCTGTGTAACCTCCCTTTTTTTTTTTTTTTTTTTTTTTTTTTTTTTGAGACAGAGTCTCACTTTGTTGCCCAGGCTAGAGTGAGTGCCGTGGTGTCAGCCTGGCTCACAGCAACCTCAATCTCCGGGGCTCAGCGATCCTACTGCCTCAGCCTCCCGAGTAGCTGGGACTATAGGCATGCGCCACCATGCCTGGCTAATTTTTTTTTTGTATATATATTTTTAGTTGGTCAATTAGTTTCTTTCTATTTTTGGTAGAGACGGGGGTCTCGCTCAGGCTGGTTTCGAACTCCTGACCTTGAGCGATCCGCCCGCCTCGGCCTCCCAAAGTGCTAGGATTACAGGCGTGAGCCACCGCGCCCGGCGTAACCTCCCTTTTTCTCACTGATAAAGACACGGTCGTGATTCCTGCTCTTCCTACTTCCTTAGGTTTTTATAAAAATAAATTACAATAATGTAAATAAGAGGACTTGGACTTGCAAAGTGCCACTATAATAATTTTAGTTTGTCAACCCCTTGGCTATGGGGAAGCCAGCCTAAGGCTCATTCCTGTTATCACTGTGGCTCAGGATGAGCTTGTCAAAAGGGACTTTGCCATGCCTTCTTCCAGGGCCCTCATCTTGCTACCCAGAAGCAACAAATATTAACATTTGCATATTTTAGTAGACTAAAAGTTTTCAAGTAAAACCGAAGGTCCCTTATTTTAATCCCTGCCCAATCCCAGTCCTTTCACTTCTTCCCCAGAAACAATCACTATGATGACTTCCAGACCATGTTTTATACTATACCATGCACCCACAGACACCAGGCTCCCACCCACCCCACAGCACCTCACATATCCACACAGTTTATACCGGGAAGGGTAATTTCTGTTTTCCAGGAGCCCATAGAGTACCTTTCCCCTCCATCCATGGACATCCTGAGCTGTATGGGGGTGGGGCATGTATCCGTAGGTGGAGAGCCCCCTGGATACCCGTTTTAAACCCGTACGCAGAGATTTGCCCTTATTCCTCAAAGGTGAGGGTTTTGCACACACAAATCAACCGGACACCATTATTGCTTCAAGAACCAGATAACTTTAATGGAAACAATAGTAACACTCAAAGGAAAAAACTTAAGTGAACGTTTTGAAAGAGCAATATGCACGCCAGGCTGGTGGCCTGACCCGGGGAAGGCACCCATGGCTGTGGGGACAGTCCCAGATCAGTTCTCCTTGTCACGGCCGCCCAGGGTGAGCTTGTCAAAGAGGCACTCCGCCAGGCCGGCGTCTGGGGCCCCCATCTTGCGCAGGTTGGTGAGGTAGCCACCCAGCTCCTTGATGGTCTCGACCTGATCGTGAAGGTAGTGGCTCTCCAGGAAGTCGCAGAGCTGTGGGTCACCCTTGTCGATGGCCAGCTGGTGCAGCTCCAGGAGGCTCTGATTGACGCTCTTCTCCAGGTGGAAGGCGTGCTCCATGGCCTGCAGCCCGCCATCCCAGTCGTCGTGGTCGGGCTTCCTGACGTCGCGAAGGCAGACGCGGCCCCCGCGCTGGTTCTGCAGGCCCATCAGCTTCTTGGCGTGCTCCCTCTTCTCCTGAGAGTGGCGCAGGAAGTAGCGGAAGAAGTGCTTCAGGGCCACGTCGTCGCGGTCAAAGTAGAAGGCCATGGAGAGGTACACGTAGGAGGCGTGGAGCTCTAGGTTGATGTGGCTGTTGACCGCGGCCTCACAGTCGGGGTGGTAGTTCTGGCGCACCTGAGAGATTGTGCCGGCAGCCATGGCGGGCAGCGTGGGTGCTGGGAACACTAAGAACGCGAAGGCGCCGCGTGATCTTGGGCTGCGGAGTGGGCAGCGGCGGCGCTGGCGGTGGCGCGGGCCTCGAGGCGATCCCAGGGTGGATGAGAGTGGCGGCCGTCGGAGGGCAACCTCCGGGCCGGGTAGCTGGTGAATGGCGTCTGGTCTGGCAGGGCCCGGAAGTGGGGCTTTTGGTCGTTATTTGGGGGGGTAGAGGTCAGAGGAAGGGGGGATCGCAAGCGCAGAGATCCATGGGAAGTCCCAGGAGACACTGCTCTGACCGTCTCAAGGTCATTAAAAAAAATAACTTCTCTTTTGAGATATAATTTATATGCCATAAAATTCACCCTTTGAAACATTTGCATGGTTTTTATGGAGCATTTTCAGGGAGTTGTATAACCAATCCTGACTAAAAATCTAATTTCAGACATTTTTATCACTCCAAAATGAAATCCCCCTACCGGTGAGCAGTCACTGCCTAGCCATCCCGCCTTCCTTGCAGGCCTGGCAACCACTATTATATTATACTTTGTTTCTAGAGGTTCGCTCACTCTGGACATTTCAAATAAATGGAAATGTACAATTTGTGGCCTTTTGTGTATGGCTTCTTTCAGTTAGCATAATGGTTTTACTTTTCATCCTTTTTATTGCTGAATAATATTCCATTGTGTGGGTATACCACATTTTATGTATCCTCCCATCAGTTCATGGACATTTGGTTTGTTTCCATTTTGTGGCTATTATGACTAATGCTGCTATGAACATTAATGTACAGGTTTTTACATAGATATATGTTTTCAGTTCTCTTGTGTATAAACCAAGGAGTGGAATTGCTGGGTCATATATTAACTCTATGTTTAACCTTTTGAGGAACTGCTAGACTGTTTTCCAAGTGGCCGCATCATTTTATCTGCCCACTAGCAATGTATGAGGGTTCCAACATCGCAATGTATGAACATTTCAAGACTGTTATTTTCTCCCCTTCTCTCTCTCTTTGGTCATTTTAGTGGATATTTAGTAGTTTTACAAATAGAGGAGTTCATTTGTTTGGCAGATATCAGGCCAATAGACACAGCCGAGTGGGTTATAGCAAGGGAGTTTTATTACTTGGCACAAGTGCGGTTCATACCCAGGATAGTTCCCAAAGCAGTATATCCCTGAACCAGTGGGTTGCACTGCTTTTTTACTTAGAGGGTAATGAAGATCTAATAGGATCTTATAATGGGGTGATGCCAGGAAGTGTGCTTTGACTAGATTCTGTGAGAGGGTGATGCCAGGGCTCAATCTGATTGGATCCTGAATTCTGGATTCTTCCATGTGGTATTCACTTTTTTTTTTTTTTGAGACAGTCTCACTCTGTTGCTCTGTCACCCAGGTAGAGTGCAGTGGCATCATTATAACTCACTGCAACCTCAGTCCTGCCTCAGTCTCCCAGAGTGTGCTTCTTAATTCATTCTCCACTCCTCGGTCTGTAGGAGCACTCAGGTTACACCTATGGTTGCATGCTTGGTTCATCTGGGCATGCTCAGGTTATGTGACCTTCAACCTGGAGATCCATAGCAACTGGAAAACAACTCAAACTTTGTTACCTAAAAGTTGAACCAGACTGGTATGGTGTGGTTCATTTCCCTAATGGCTAAATGTTGAGCATCTTTTTATGTGCTTATTAGCTATTTGCGTATCTTCTATCTTCTTTGAAGAAATGTCTATTCATGTCCATTGCCCATTCTTAAATTGAATTTTCTTTTTATTGTTGAGTTTTAAGAGTTGTGTATATATTATGGATACCAGTCCTTTTTAGGCATATAATTTGCAAATATTTTGTGGGTTTTCACTTTCTGTGGGTTTTCACTTTCTTAATGGTGTCCTTTGAAGCAAAAAAGTTCTTAATTATGATGTTCAATTCCAAAGATTGAGCCCATGGTCCAAAGAAGATAGAGCCCAGCTGGTGATCAGATGTAGGGAAGCTCTAATGCATTCTCATCAGCTCCACTATAGGACAACTTTTTAGCACAAAGGCCATAGGGGAGTTTTGTGTGGTTCCTATTTGGTTGGGCACTAATGAGACATGTTCAACACCCACATCCATTATATTATAAAAAAAGAAAAATCTCCTTCCAGTCTCCAATTCCTCACTATTCTAAGTTGGGGGAAAACAGGAAAATCACTATCTTGAGGATCAAAGGCAAGGCCTGTGAACTTAGGCATGCCTGTTGTAAGTATTGGTTTATGTAAGTTGAAAGTTGATGACTGATATTAGTTCAGTTAAATATAAAGTATCTCTAAGGTTATAACCTTTCAGTTTTATTCAATGTGCCAGAACTCTGTCCTTCTACTCTCTGTTCTACTCTCTGTCCTTCTCCATCTTATTCCCTGGGTAGAAGAGACTGACCTTTATAAACTGCATCCCTTGGTCTTTGTGCCCTCTGGCTTCAGGTTGGGGCCAGCAAATGGGAGGCACTGGCAGGAGATGGGAGGTTAGGAGGAGAGGAAGTTGGGGTATTTACTCTCTTTGACTTCATCTCTTCAGGGGAAATAATTAAGAGGCATTTTTATTTCCCTTTTATAGATTTTGCTCCCTGGATGCATTAGGATTATTCTCAGGGTAGGTTTTCAGCAAACACCACTCACTTCAAAGGAAATTACTGCAAAGAACAGGTGTTCTTTGGCTCAGGTTTAATGTACGGCCTATGAAATTCATGAGGATCTAGAAACCGGTGTGCACCTGGACATTCCTTCAGGCCAGAGAATAAATGGAGCTGATAGAACACCTAAAGTGCCTAATATAGGATAGTCTTGGGCAAAAAAAAAAAAAAAAAAATGGCATAGGTATACCGCCACCCAAAATTCAAGATCTAATTTTCTAGCTTGTGGATTTCTCTGGCCCCTGCCTCCCATCTTTCTTTGGGTGAGTAGCCTTTTGATTACCACTCATCTAATTAGTGGATCCATTAGAATGAAGATCAGGGAAGAAATGCAAAGAGAAATTTTCTACTTGTTAGTAACCAAATTTAAAAGTGTGCTTGGGGAAGACATTGACTTAATAAGGTTTAAGGAATATCTGTTTATTTCAAATAAACCTTTGTCCTTCTTTGCTCACCTTCTACTGCCCATGATTAAAGCTATTGCAGAGTGTTGTGCATAGCCATGTGTAAGTAAGCCCAATCAATGTACATAACAGATTATAGAAGCTGACTAATGAATTTGATACCTCGTGATCATTTGCTTCTAGAAAGGAAGATACAATCCTTGATTTCAGATAACCAAAAATATATTTTAAAAGGTTTCTTTGCTTGTTATCTTTTCTAAATAGAGAATGAATAATTTGTATTATGACGTACAATTCCTTCACAGAGAACACTAGGTATAATAGTCAGGCTAAGGTAAGCTATGCTGCAGTGACAAATAGAACCCCCCCCCAAAATTTCAGTTGCTGCAGAAAATATTTCTTATTCACATCAAAGTCTGAGGCAGATAAAGTGACTCTCTTTCATGGCTCTCCATCAATGGTTAACTTACGGATCTAGGCTAAATTCCATCCCGGAGTTCTACCATCTCAGAATCTTCACTTCCAACTGCACAGAAGAGAAAGAGGAAACATGGAGACCTCCCTTTTTCTCTTTACTTCCTTGGACCAGAAGTCATATGCACTTCAGCCCAAACCAACTTCAAGGGAGGCTGAGCAATGTAGGGGAAAACATGATATTCAGTGAGTAATAAAATCTCTGCCATGCATGTTTTACCCATTTCTCCTAGTTACTTCTTAAAAGTTATTTATAATTCACATATGACCAATGTTATTTACTTATTGGAGTGTGCATATAGAAAGGCTTCTTTTGAGAAAAAATTTTATAATTTATTTTTGTGTGTAGCAGCATACTAAGTAATGCAACTTGTGTGGTCTCATCTCCACATAATTGCTTCTGGTATTTCACCCTTGGCTATATTTCTCTCCCATCCTAGACCCCAGCTTGTCATTCAGACTCACGTCCAAGCCTACCTTCTACCTAAAACTTCTCTGCCAGAAATGAACACAGCCTTCTCTGAAGATCTATAGGGATTATTGCCCACACAATTAGCATGGCAATCAATCATGGACCACCCAGTGATGCTGTGTCTGGAATTACCTTGAACTATTAATCATCTCCTTTTCTGTTGTGTCCCTCTGGTGCAATGTTATCCCTGATTCATAAGATCCTGGAGGGAAAACTCCCTTTCTTCAACTCCACAGCACCCAACCAGACAGATTAACACAGAATAAGTGCTCAAAAACTATGAGTTGTTTGATCTGATTTAATTGGATCGACAGAGTCGGCAAACGTCCAAAGAAACATCAGTACTAAGTACATTAGCAAACATCAAGACTAAGTACCTAAGTACTATGTGCCAGGATCTGTGCTATGAACTGTCGGTAAAGAGATGATTATAACATAGTGCCTATCCTTAAGACTGTTTCAGAATTTTAGGGGTGGACTGAATAGAAACCAACAGGGTGTGGTAGCTAGTCTCCAAAGATAATTCAACAATTCCTCTCCTCCCTATTTGAGCATGCTGCTTCTCATTTCTAGGGTTGGTGGTTATTTTGCCTGCCTGTGACTGCCTTGCCAATAGAATGGGGTGGAAGTGGCATTGTGGGACTTCCAAGAAGATGAGCAGCTGTTTCTTCCTTCCACTTTGAAGTTTCACTCTCAGGACGTTCCCCCTCTGAATCCAGTTATCATGCTGTGGGAAGATCAAACCACATGAAGTAGCAACAAGGAGGAGAACAGAGGCTGAGTTTTCAACAATAGCCAACACCAACTGCCAGCCATATGAGTAAGCCGTTTTGGATATTCCAGGTGACTACAGCCCCAGCTGACATCACAAAGAGAAGAATAACCACTGATATGAAGCCAGTCCATGCACAGAATTATGACCAATAATACAATAGTTTTTATTTTAAACCAGTATGTTTTGTGGAGGAAAGGAGTTTCTATGTAGCTAAAGATAACTGAAACACAGGGTCAGAAAGTTTGGCCAGTACAATGGATTCACAAATGAAGGAAAAGAATGAAGAAAGCTCAGGAATGCCCTCATACAGGTGACATTTGAGCTGATGAGTAGAAAGTCCCCAGGCAGAACTTAGAGGGAAGGACTTTCCAGTTAGTATAAAACTATTAGGCATATACAGAAAACTACAAACAGTTTGTGATGGATGACATGTGAATAAAGAGGAAGCCACAGGAATCTTGAGAGAAATCTGAAAATGTAGGATCCTTGCCTTGAGATTTATTCTTTACCCAGTTGGGTTCATGAGACTTTTTAAAGCAGAGGAGTGTCAAAATCAGATTTTTTTGGTCTCAAACAGATTACTGTGGCATGAATGAGAGTTAGACTGAAGAAGCATGAGACTTTAGGGAAAAAGAACAGCCAGGAGACTTATGTAATGATCCAGGGTGAGAAGATGAGGCATGTGGAGTAGGCAGTGGCAAGAGAAATGGAGAGGAAGGATGGGGTACAAATGCTATTGAGATGGAAAGTTAATAGAATTTGAAGACGGGTATGGGTAATGAAGGAAAAAGGAATGTAGGACTCTCGTATTTCAGGCTTTGGCTCACCATTCTGAGATTGGCAATACAGGAGGCCAAGCAGTTTGGAGGAAGAAGATAATGACTTGGGATTCACTTTGACCCCTTGAGTCCGGGGTTATCCTAAAGAAGATGCTCTGTAGGAAAGTGACTATTGGGTTTAGAGTTCAGGAGAAAGGGTTCAGTTAACATAATAATTTTAAGAAAAGTATCCAGAACCTATGGACAAATGAAGCTACTTTGTGGGCATTTATTCTGTTATAGAGCAATATAACAGGGAAAAGTGTGTCTGAAAGATACCATGTTAGTAGGCAAGACCAGTAAGAGGTGGTGTTAGGACTTATTTTTCCATTAGTAGTAATGGGTTGTGAAGAGCTATAGACATGCTTATCCAGGCTCTTTTATGGCTAATTTGACAGGATTTGTCCTGAGACCAAAATTGTGAGTGTAGTTTGTGGCTATGAAAGATTTTCTCTGCATGAAGCTAACTGACCCACCTGGGCTCAAGCTCAGTCTTACCTTTATTAGATCCACTCTCCAAGCACCTGAGCAATCTTCCAGCTTAAGGCTTCAAAATATGTGAGTTGTTCTAATGATATGAGGTATCTAAATGTTGGGAGCAATGGGAAATTACTTTGATTTTTGAGAAAAGGTCTGAAAGCTCATCATGATTATGTGATTCCAAAGAATCCAACTTTGTACCACATGCTACTTAATTAGGTGATTATTTTGAAGACAAATGGGATACTTTTAGGCAGGTATCTAAAGCACTGTAATAAAGAGTATTACAGGCTTTCTGTGTTCTCTTGGCAGAGCTGCTTATACTCATCACTATGTACATGGAGAGCTTGATTTGACCCCAGCAGGTAATATGTGGGAGATCTGTGTGTATGCTATAAATGGAATTTTACTACTTTTAATGGGCTCTGAGAAGGGCAGACTAGGCATTTGATGTGAATCTTGACCAGCCTGTTAACCCTCTTGCTTTCTATTTATATATAATCATCATACTCTGGGAAAATGCCCAGTCATTTCATTAACTTGCTCATATTTTAGTCTTCTGGCCATACCTATCACATACTGGAATATTTACAAGTTCACTTAATTTGATTATTTAATAAGATTCTATTTTCCCAAATATCATGGCTTACTCACAAATAAAACCAGAAATGATTTCAGAGCTGGAGTCTCCAGGTCATGGAAAGCACAGGCCAGTTTAGAGCCACCAGTGCTGCAGTCTTTCTGTTCTCATTCCAGTCCAGCGGAGGGATGTTTTATTCACCAGAATGGGCTACAATGTGCCGCAGTAACAGGTAACGCCCTCCCCCTCCCCAATCTCAGTCTTAACATAATAAGAGCTTACTTCTTGCTCAGGTCCAGGAATAGAGTAGAGGGAAGTGGAGTGCCTAGGACACAAAGTTTAAGGAAGAACTCACTCTCAAGGTCATGGAAGTGCAGGTCATGCTTATACTAGACGTCCATTGTGTGTCAAAAATAGGCTCTGTTAATTATTGCCACACAGGGATCCAGACTGATGAGGCCACATCTCAACACATACTTTGAGATCACTGGAGCAGTGGGAAACATAGCAACTTTCTCACTGGTTTTTTAAGCTTCCATGGGAAAGTGATACATATCACTTCTGCTCACATTTCATTGGCCGAAGAAAATCACTACCATCCCATAGCTCTCTCACAACTTGCAGCTTTCAAGTCCGGCAGGTCCTCCAATGACATTATTTCATTTAACGTTGTTTCATTAAAACATTGATGAGAAAAAAAAAATCAATTCCTGGCCAGGGCCACTGTCTGTGTGGAGTTTGCATGTTTTCCTCATGTTTGCATGGGTTTCCCGCAGGTACTCCAGTTTCCTCTCACATCCCAAAGATGGACCCATGTGAATTGTCATGGTTGGATTGTCACACTATGAGTGAGTGTGTGGTGTGTGTGTGTGTGAATGTGCCTTGTGGTGGGATGGTGTCCTAGCCAGGGCTGGTTCCCACCTGGCACCCTGAGGTGCCAGGAGAGGTTCCAGCCACCCACAACCCTGAAATGGAATAAGGGAGGGCATATTTATCTTACTTGTTCTTATTAATCTTTCTTGAATGTATGTATAACTCACATTTATTTCAATGTTTAATATTAGAAGTGTTTGGGTTCTTATTTTGAAGTTTGCTGATATTTTTTTGTGACCTGAAATAGGCCATATGAACTTAATTCTTGTTTACATCAGTTAGCCTATGGTAAGATTAGTTTTATTACATGTGGTTTCCATTAAAGTTGCAGTTTCCAAAAACCTATCGACTATAGTACGTAAAGACTTACTGTAAAATGAATTCTGGCAATGGGTAGCTGATGGATCTTAACTGCTCATGGGTGCACAGTGAGGCTTGTTAGGTGGTTGGAATGTGCTTCTTGACATCATCTACTCAGCCGAGAAGGGACTTTCACAATGTGCTAAAACAACAACATCTCTAAAGTGAAGCTCTTCTCTTCCCAGGGTGCTGAAGGCTTTGCCGTATGCAGCAGCTCTAGTTTCTAAGGCTTGTCAAATCACAGCTGAAGAAAGAGCACCACTCCTCTTTCTCCAATTCTTAATTTCTCTCTTGCTATCTCTTTTCCATTATTTATTATTTAACTGCAGGAAGCTTTGGGATACATTGTGCAAAGGATGCTATCCTAAATAGAGTTGCTTTGTGTCATCACTTGGGGGAAGTGAAGAAAGTTAGTCAATAGGCATTATTTATTGTTAGCTGTGGGTTCTCGAAATAGCTGGATAAAAAGGACAAAATTTAAAATAAAGAGAAAAGGCAAAAGCAGTGGGCTTTTGTCTTTGATTTTGATTATTATTTTTTGCTTCTTTAAAAGTAAATTAAAGCATAGTTGTGAAGTGATAAAAAATAATTACAATCTTGTATTTTCTAGGAAACCTTTTTCAAGGATATTTGGATTGGTTCAACCTTAATTAATTCTCATCAAATATCTCTACCTCTCAGATTTGACACGCTGATTTTACAGATGATTCAAGAATACTAGCTGATTAAGAGACTTGCTTGCAGTCATGAGGTGAGTGATGGGTATTTTGAGGCTCAAGTAATACCAATATTTTGCATTTTCCACCTTAGCCTTTAGCTTTGCCTGTGGTGATAAATCCATGAATTTCACTTCAGCAGTGACTTTG